TATGCCATTTTCTAGGTTCTGAATTGAGCTTTCTGTAGACAGCTATTTTATCCTAATCGGACGTCAAATGAAGAAATGAGGCATATTGGAAGTTGGCCTTTTGATGGCAATATTACTATCAGTTCTGTGCACACACAAAGGAGCACGTCGCGACACGTGCATGCCATGCCACGGCTCTTGCCTCTGTTTCTTGCTATCTTTTTTTTTCTCTATTTCCTTGTAATGCTTTTGGTATAAAATGGTATCCTATGCTTCCACAATTATTTTAAACAGTTGACTAGTTTTATAAATGTCCCTTTAATGATTTGAAAATTTGGGATCCCAATTTGTGAAAATATAACTCAATTTCAAAAGTGTTTTAAAAATGGTTAACCATTGTTGAAAAATTCGTCCAGGTTAATTCCATAATTACCTAAGAGATAAATATGTAAATTAGTAAGGGTGACTTTACAAAAAGCCCCATTTCTCCACATTAAGCCTTAATCTTCCCCTTTCGACTGTAAAGGGTGCCTAAATGGTACCAATCTTGACCTAACCCTAGTCGAAGGGCTTAAGGTAGCTCAAGTATAACTCAAAGCCTCCTAGTGCATGCCACATAAGGACGAGTGTGTGATCACAATACAACCTTATTTCATCAATTTAACCTATTACCTATAGCCACCTCACGATAGTTTATTTCTAGTATATACACGTATGAAAGAGTAGTTATGTATGAGTCAAGATAAACAAAATCTAATGTCACAATTAAGAGTTAGCACATGCCAACCAATCATCAGCCAGCTTATGTCACGAATAGTATCATCTATCCATCCTAAATTTCATATAATTCAAGTTAAACAGCACTCCTAAAAGGTTATACTAAGCATCATATTATTCAACGTTCCAAGTTCTTTTTGTCATCATTAGACCAAGTTTTCACAAATATATTATAATAGACATGCTCATATTAGATTCAGTTCATTATAAGTATTATAAAAATAACTACCTACCAAATCATGCATACAGAGTAATTTAGACAAAGTTACCTGGACTTCAGTTTACTTAAAGAACTTGAAGTTTCTCTATAAGAGACCCTTCAGCTAACTCAACGTCAAAGCAAAATTTAGGAGTCCCTTGGAAAACTTGTAACACCTCTATGAATAATAATTTAAAGAATTATATCATATAAAATTTATATTTAATTATTTATTTCTGTCTAGTTATCACAAAATACTCATGGAAGTTATATTTAATTCTAAAATTACTCTCGTTAAACTCTGCTCATTTTATTTTATTTATTTTTGATCTTAGAGCTTCTCAAAGATTCCTCCAAGCAACTCTAAATTATATTAGTTATTACTTTTTAACTTTATAATTAGAAGTTAAGATCTTATTTATTCAGTTTTACTCAGCCTTATAAATCTCTTCCTCAAAAACATGTATTGAAATTAAATACTAAAAACTTATTCCATCCTAAGTAAATTCTCCCATACTCAAATAATTGCATGGTAAATTTAAATTACCATAGCATAAATTCTTCATGATATTAATTAAGTTCTAAAAATTAAGATGTTATTGCATGCAGGAACAGATGCAATAACACTGGGCTGATTGGAGGGAGTTGGAGCGGTCAATGCTTTCAGTGATACTTAGTCCTCTCTAGTTTAGCCTTGTGTTTGATTTCTAGATGTCCGGCCACTCCGTCCCTAATTTTGGTTATGGCTTTGGGTCTGATTTTCCAATGGTGGTCTCCTCTGAATATCAAATGTAATTCTTAAACTGAAACAGAAATTTCTATTTATAATTATTTAAATTAATATTTATAATTTATTTTTATAAAAAAATGTATTGGAACTTAACTGTCACTATCCCAAGAAGCAATCAGTAGCCTCTTTTTAATCCCATTAAAGTTCTTGCCAAAACAACAATTTCTTAGTTTGCCTTAAAACTGGTTTCTGATTTTTTTTAATATGAGGTTTCATTTTTTTTTGGCAAAAAAATTATTAATAATAGGAAAAATTAATCATTTCGTCCATGTATTTTTAATTCAATTATTACTTAGTTTTTGAATTTTGATTCATTGTAACTTGATTATTATAATTTTGACTCAATTATAATTTAATTCCTAAACTTTGACTCCTCGCAACTCAGTCATTATATTTTCACTATTTAAAGTTATATCTTAAAATAAAATTTTAAAAATTTAAAATTATGTTAACATTCAAGGACTAATATTTTAAAGGATAAATTTGCTCATTGGCCTAAAAAAATCTTGTATTTAGAAAATTTGGGAGTGTGGTCAATTTACATTAATATACAAGGGGTTTATTATCGATATACAAATGATTTATCATTAGAAATTTACAAGAGGTTTATTATTAATATACAACGGTATATCATTGATGAATATAATAACCTGACCATAATATAAAATATAACACATTTTAGGTTGTTTGTTTGATTTGATCCTATAACATAGGCTATGTCTACAAAAATCCTTATTTTAAATTACTAAAAATTGTAATTTAATAAAAATTATAAAGATTAAGATTTTAAAATAATTTTAATCTTTCTGATTTTATTTTTTAAAATATATATGAAATGGTTAAAACTATAGAAAATGAATTTCAATGAGCCAAAATTCAATAACTAAATTATAATCGAGTCAAAATATTAAAAATTAAATTATAATAAATAAAAATTCAGGGATTGAGATACAATTGTTCTAAAACTATAGAGATTAAATTATTAATTTTTTTATAATAATAATATAAAAATTTTAAATATATGAAAGTAAAATGTACTTCATTTTGGTTTGATAATTGGTCAGGGTTGAATCCTCCACTTATTGATTTGATTACTGGCCATCAAGGTTTTATTGATAGAGATGACAAGTTTCTTTGACGTTGCAAAGGGAAATGGTGAGTGTGATGGAGAGACACTGAGTTTGAACCTCGTGCTAGGAAATAATGCGACCAAGTCCTCTCTCTTTTTTTTTTCGTCACTCAAAATTTGAGTTTTGCTCCCAAAGGATATATAAATTATAAATTTTAAAGCATAAAGAAAAATATTATGTTAAAACATAGTATTTGCCGAAAAAAAAATGTTAAAAACGATTTGCATCCCAACAAATAGAATTAACATGTACTCATGTCCTAATATGATTAATTCTTTTAAGCTTAAAATAAGAAATATTACATCGGGAAGTTCTCCTTTAGGGCCTCTAAAATACAAAAATTTGTACTGCAGGCTCAATAAAATTTAAAAATGCACTATAAGCCTAGGGGTCTTTACAAATTTTATTGTGAATGAAAAGACACAATTGCCTTTGTCTCAAAGACATGTCTATGCATGCACACCACAATATCTATAAATTTTTGATATAATATTCATAAATGCACAATACATTTGGTGGACACGGTTTAATTTAAAGTGAAATATACATGCAAGCAAATGATGAATCACACAACATTCATAAATATACAATACAATGGCTATCAATTTTCAACACAATGAATATATGTAAACCTGCAATATTTGTACAACATAAAGCTCATAATGAATAACATACTTTCATTGAAACAATATACTTTAAGTTAATATCCATCAAATGTGTTGTGCATTCATGAATATTGTGTTGAGAATTCGTGAATATCATGTTGTGTATACATAAATATTCTATTAAGATAAGGGCAAATGCATCTTTTCATCCACAATAAAATTTACAAAAAGGGTTTTTAAACTTGTAGTGCATTATCAGATTATATTTTCAAAATATTTATATTTTGAGAGCCTCCCTAAATGAAATTCTCCCTTGAATAAATTTCATTTTTAAGATTTATTTTATTAATAAAATATTTAAAATGTTTTAGGATTTTGTAATAGGGCTTGTTCATTATATATAACAGAATAAAATAGAAATTAATTCATATCAGATAATGATATGAATTTAATGAAAAATATATATCTTGTATATATATATATATATATATGTAAACACTAAATTAGGTCATCCTCAAATTCACTCCTAATCACATAACTTGTATGCTTTAGATCATCATAAGATTATAAATAAAGTAATTTATTCTTGATTTACAGATCCATTTTTATTTATGTATAATTTGCATGAGCTCCTTTGCTTAGTTCTAATTTGGGTACTGACCTTTTTGTTTTTGCTGAGTATTGTCTTGGTTTCATGGCAGGTAACTCTATAATAATTATCTTCCTATATTTAAATCGTTTAATATTACATAATTATGTATTTAAATTTTAGAGAGTGAAAAATTATATAATTATTTCATTCATCTAATTTTTTTAAAAAATATATAATGAAAAATAATCTAAAACAGAATTTTTTCATAAAAAATGACTATTCTTTAAAATCAATTTTAATATTTTTTGCATTATTTGTTGAAAAAAATGTTAATTATTTTAGAAGGTTACTTTAAGTACCTTATGATACAGTGAATGTTCATAAAAATAGAGAGATACAAAAGAAATCATTAAATTTGAAAAAAATTAAATAATAAATTATTTTTATAAATAGAAATATATGAAAATATCACAAAATCTAAAAATAATTTATTTTTAAAATTTTAAAAAATGGCCCAAGGGTTCAAAACTAAAGAGAAAATGTGAGGACAATATCTAGAAGGAAAAGAAATTTAGAGCCTATTTAACAATTTATTTTAAAAATAGTTTTTTTGTTCTTCAGGAGAAAAAATTCATTTGATAACGTATTTTTAAAAAATATTTTAAAAAATAAAAAATAAAAAATATTTTTTAAATGTTTTGAGATTATTATTTTAAAAAAGAAGAGAAAATAAAAAATATTTATTTTTATTATTTTTTTATTCTCAGAACATATTTTATAAAATATCAATTTTTAAAATAATAAAATAAAAATAATTTTAAATGAGCCCACAATGCTTGTATTTATTGCACAAGGTGACCTAATTGAATCCATCAACAATTATTGTAACGAGCTATTGTGATAAATATTTTTTTTTTTTGGGGCCAAAGGTAAGAACTATTGCATAAATCAGAATCCAGTAGCGATACAAAAGGCAAAAACCAAAGTAGCAAGACAGCAACAAGAGGGAAAAACAAACGGCAGCAAACGCAAGACAAAAACGAAAATAGCAGAGAGAAAAAAACCAGACAGAAACAACAACAGAGAAAGACACTTAGCCAACATAATCTTGATCACGGCCAGCTACACCTTGGGCAGAATCCAGAACAGAACTCTTGACATCCTCATCCTCAGCTAGTAAGAGAGATAAAGGAGGTGATAGTGCTTGTACCCATCCAACAGGGCCCACTTCCTTGTTTTTAAAGTCCTGCTAAAAACATTCTTGTTTTTTATTATCAGTTCTAATAATGTCTTGTTAAAGAAAATTATGAAATTTTTATTTTTAAATTAATCCTATTAAACAAGCTAGTTTTTATGAATAGATTTTTTTTTTATAATGAGCAATACATCTCCTAATTGTTTAATATGAACTTAATAGTTAGAAAGTGGAATTTAATTGTTGTGTTATCATTATGGGGATGTTTTAGGGTGAAATGTTTAAATAAAATTATTTTAATTGATTTATGCACTTCTATTATTGTAAATGACTATTTTTGTTAAATTCATGCTTATTCCATTTATATTTCTTCTTTTTTCCTTTAGTTTTAAATATAGAACGTTATTAACTGGAAACAATAATTTGACCTTAGATGGTATAACTAAACCTGTATCTTGAGTTGATCATTGAGAAGCTTTATACTAAATTGAAGTAGGAAAATTATTTCAAACAAATCTCAAATTGATATAAATTTAAACTTTGTATTATTTTCATTATTTGGGCCCTAGGTGCTCTACTTAAGCCGAAGGCAGAATCCTCATTTTTCTTTTAAAATTGTATATCTATTGGTAAGGAGCAGACCTCCTTTTGTTGAATTGATATTATTACTTGTTGTAAAACTTTAAGAAATTTTATTTATAGAGGAGTTTTTTTAGAAAGTATTTTACAAGAAATTTATTATTGTGTTTATATGAAATGTAATCAAGATGATATATTTTATATTGTAAATATGTCTATAGCTTTGTAGGAAAAAAAATGTGTCCAAGACATAAGAGATATAAGTTTTATATATATATTCTATATCAGTCACGTCTTATTTTAGAAATGTGACAATTACATAGGAAATATGATTCAATTTTTCAAAAAAGAAAAGACAGTTCACCACGCTAAATTCAAAGATTAGGATGCAAGAAATGTGATTTTTTTTTTTTAACAACAACGAGTGTTACAACTTACAAGAATTGAACAGCACTTTGGAATGAATGATAATATTATTTCAAATGGACCATCAATTAGAGAGAAAATTTTAGTAAACTAGCATAACTAAATATTCAAACATGAGAAGAAAATGTGAGTCACGTACCTTCAAGGTATCATGCAACCTTGGCTTTTACACCGTCACGTAACGAAAGAACCGTACGAGTTATATCATCTGGTGAAATACCATTTGCCCTCATTTTGCCTTATCTTCATATCCATGTTTAAGGCACCAACAAATGAGAAAAGAGCAAGTGACAACACCAAGAGTAACTTCTTTTGTGTTCATCTCATCAATCAGGCGAGAGACCATATCATATATCAAACATGTTTTGGTAAATACATCAGGCGAAAGGTTTTTAGTCAACACTTCTTTGTATACTTTCCAGGCCCTTCTCATTCACCAGTACGAAAAAAAACATCTATTAAAGATGTAAATGAAATATGATCTGGGGATTCAAACCATCTTCTTTCATTTTATTGTGAAAAACAAATGATGCTTCACGCATTTTGCCCACATGAGAAAAGATGTTAAAAAGAACTGTATAAGTGACGGTGTTGAGAGTGACTACTTTTAGCATGCTTTCGTATAACCGAAAGGCCTTCTTTAGATTTGATTGTTTGGCAAAAGTATGTATGAGAGTATTATAAATAACAACTCCTTGGAAGTACATTCCTTTTCATCATTCTTGGAAGGAGCTCCCATGCCCTTTTTAAATGTCCTCCCTTGCACAGCCAGCAGATCACAGCATTATATGAACGTGAGTTTAGCTCAATTCCTTGGTCTTGGAAATCTTCCAATACCTCCATGTAATGGCCTTCTCTGCAGAGTCCTTCAATAATAAAATTGTAAGTGATGGTATTTGGCAAGACACCACATTGTGACATGGAATTGATGTTGGCACTAGTAGGTTAAAATCACAGTCTGAGTTGTGCTCAAAGATACTATCCTTAAAAGCTATTCCACTATATTAGGTTGATCATGGGGGAGTTCTTCAAGATTAAACAGATTCTTCCTACTAAAAGTAGAGACACAGAACAACAGAAATTCATAGAATATACTTAGGTAACTACACAGTAAATCAATATGATAGAAGATGAGAAAAAGATAGAGAGCACCAAGCCCTTTCTTGAACTTGTGGCAAGCGCTACCTTTTATAGGCAGATCTCATAGTGCTAGGCAATAAAACCACCTTAATCACAATTAATAAAATAGTTTCAAATAATAATATTGTTTAAATTATATGTTACAAAATAATAAATAGGCTTAAATAATAATTAATATTATTAATTTATAATAATTTCTTTTAAAATATTCAAAAATATTTATAATATCCAACAATTGAAAGCTTCTAGTGCCTTGTTTAAGAGCCCCTGTTTGTGGAATCCTCCAATTATACTCTGGAAACCAAAAGAAGTAGGAGCCAGATCATTTGTAGTCATCTCCTCCATAAGGTTTTTGGCTGAATCCATATCACCTCCATGGCAAAATCCTTTGATTAAAGTTTCATTAGCGGCCTGATCATATTTGCATCCAAAATCGCCAACATTTTGAAACGAAGACATTGAATATTCCATTAGGTTACTCTTGGATAGACCGTGGCAAAGGGAGGTGTAACTAATTATGGATGGTTTTAAATTCTAAAGTTCCATTTCCTCAATCAAGTCAAGACCTTTCTCTATATCCCCTTTTCTGCAAAATGCACGGATTAAAATACTGTAGCTACAAACGTTTAAATTGCACAGCATCAGCAACAGGACCAAGCTTGCAAAGTCCACAAATATAATTTCTATATGTGAAAGTAGTTGGGTTTTCCCCGCTCCTGGATATTTCTTTTAAAATCCCATTAGCTTGGTTGATATCGACGTCCTGCCCACAATCTAGCTCCTTTACAATAGAAGCCCATCATAATTGTATAGGTGTGAATATTTGGTGACGGACCTGAGATTTTTAGCTCTTCATATAATTTTCCAACCAACTCCGCCCTGTTTGTTTCTCCCAAGCATTTCAACAAAAACTTGCACGAAAATATCTCAGGTTCAAACCCCTTTGCTTAATTCTCATGAACACATCAAATGAAACGCATCAAGCATGGAATTGGATGCAAGTACTTTTATAAGCATGTCATACACTACAATTGATCGTTCCGCATGCTGACGTGCATCTAACAGAGTTTCAAACAATTTGAATGTGTTGAACTTGGCTTTCCCATAGAATCCAACGATATCTTTAAGCAATGCAGATACTTCCGTTCGCATTCCTGCCGATGTATATAGGTGAATAATAATTTTGAAGGCAGTGATTGAATGATGATATCCATACAGCCTAACAGCTTTCCTGATCATTTTATGTTTCGCAAGTTCGGCCACACAATTTGAGGTTTTAATCATTGAGTCCACTATAGGAAATAAACCACGCTTTCTTTTAAGAGTTGAAAGGCTCGTGCTATTTCTTCCAAAATTGACCATTACCTTTGCATAATCTACTATAGGACTTTCATCAAACTCATGGTCTTCCAACATCACTGCCAAAGAAGCAGCATGATACAATCTAAGTAACCATTGTTTGAAAGGGAGAGCTTTGTCATGGAGCAAAGCGGACTCAACTCCATATCTTGTCGACACGGATATACATCCATCAATAACAAAACGTGATACCATGGAAACTCTCCAAAACCAATCTTAACAAGCAAAGACCCGCATTAACAAGGCTGTGAGGTGGAAACAACCATAAAGGGCTCGTAGCCAACCGTTGGAATAGCAATTCCGGCAAGCAATCCTCCCCAGCATCCTAGTTTAACTCTCAAGTTCCTGTCTTTCAGAAATAGCCCAGGATCAATAGGTTGACATATGTAAGCAGTAAAACTTGAAAGAATGTAGCTTGCCTCGAAAACTCACCTTGACAGACATAAGCTTCTAGTCAGTAGGGGTAATTACAGTCACTTAGGGCTACACAAAGGACAGACCAGATAAGACTTCAACCTAACTCAAAGTCTGCTCTTTTTTATGGAAAGGACTGTGTCAGGCAACCTGTGGTCTGATCTGACCCTAGTATAAACCGAAGTTGAACAAGACCAAATTGGTCTAGTACAACTGGGAGACTAGTCTTAATTTTGTCGAATACCTCACTTTTCTCCACTTTCTCCTCTATGGGAAGTAACAATTTATTTCAACCTAATAAACTCAATTAAAATAATAAAATTACTTATAATCATATAAAATTTATCACAAGTATATATCCATAACAATCTCCAACAACAATAAAAAGTATTTCAGTTACAAGACAAATGATTTAAATTCAACAACTTTCAGCATGTCTTAAGTCCATTACATGAAGTTAAAAAACAAATTTCACCTAAAAAAAACAAGAAGATTGAGGTTGGTCAATGTTAGAATTTTGCTCAATATTCATGACCTCACAAAAGAAGACACAAAATTGCTAATGAGATTGAGAATATGTAAATGAAAACATGCACAACAGGCCTGCTAGAAATAGTGAGTTCATGACAGCTAAATTTTAGGATGCAAAAGAGCTAAGCTAAATTTTACATTGAATAATCATATATCATCAATTACAGTTAAATTTCAATAAACTACGGGGTTTAGAATGTCTATCTCTGCTTTCCAGAATGAATTAATTGCAAGAACAATTTTTTAACTCCCAATTAATTAATAGCTTTTACTTAGTTCTAAATAAAAATGATTTGATGAGTTACACATAAAGCTATCAACTTTGGATTTTGAGTCATCTGAAGGGAAAAAAAACTTTGTATTGGAGTTAAATGTTGTATTGTCTAAAAATGAAAAGGCATGGAGAGAATCATATAAAAAGCAAAAACGATCACGTGTTTGAAATTAATTATTCTCAGAGGAGAGGAAAAAATAGATTTGCTCAGTTAAAATTACAAGAGCAATGTGTAGCATCTGAGAGTCCTTGTTCAATTTCAGGAGCTAGGATTCCAATTTCGAGAACAAGCCAAGCCAGGCTAAGCTAGACTTTGGCTAAACGGGCCTAAGCCGGCAACAAGGTGCTCAACCCTGAACATGTATGCAGGTTTTTTTCTAGGCTCAAACTTGAGCCTATAATAGGCCCTGACCTAACTTAAAGTTTTTTTTAAATACTTACTTCATGTGTAGGTCTTTAAATAGACTTTTGAAGTTAGGCCTCAAATTCTTTAAGTAGGCTTCAAGCCTATCTATGAAACACCGATGCATATCGGATACAATACATAGTAATTTTTAAAAATTTTGGAATGTAGATATAACTATATAAATAATTGAATATTAAATATTTAGATACATATATATAATCAATACAATCAGCAACTAAGCAATATCAAATGTTAAAAGATTTTTCAAAATTAAAAAAATCCATAAACTCATAATATGCTTTATTTTTTGTTGAACCCCCTACTTTGGGAGCCAAGTTTTTTTATTTTCCTTTTTCATCATCATCATCATCATCATCACTACTACTACTACTACTGTTATTTTGAAAATGAAGTTAGAGGCTAATATTTGCTGTACGTACATGCACGTCATTATGTGAATTCCTATATTCAAGTTCCTTGGTAATTAAGAAGAATGGGAGCATTATATTCCCCTAAAAAAAATTATAAAAGCATATCTAAGATTCTCGATATAAATCAAAGCTATTCTGGAAAACAATATGCCGTGATTTAGTGTGTTTAGTTTTTAATTTGTCAAAAATCTATTTGTTAAAAGTTTATTTGATAAAAGTCAGTTGCTGTAATGAAATTTATGTTTGGATATATTTTTTTAAAAAAAATCAGCTTGATTAACTAAAAGTTATTTAGATTTTATATAGTGAAATGTTCTTTTAAATATACATTTATAAAAAAAGATATTGATTTATATAATTTATAATTTTTGTTATAGAAATGTGTAATATATTAAAAATGTTTAAAAAATATGATAAAAAATTTCAAGGAGTGCTCTATTAGAAATGTTTGGATGATATACAATGAAAGATAATTTTAAATGTATAGTTACTAAAAAGACATATATAATTTAATATATGTAATTTGTGTTATGCATAGTTTTACTTATTAAAAATATATATAAACAACGGTCTAAAATTTAAGATGGTTAATAATATATATAATAAAATAATATAAAATTTTATATGCTGAATAATATATATATATATATATAATAAAGATGTATAAATAATTTTTAAATATCAAAATATAAAAAATTATTTTTAATATGAAAATAATTTATTCTTGCCAGACTATAAAAACATGCACTTTGTATTGAATACTCTGTATGCAGACTTACAAGCTGGGCTTTAAACAAACAAGCTTAGCTTATCTAGTCAAATAAGTTTGTAAAAACTAAAAAAGCCTCAAGTTTGACTTCTTTATAAAAAGGTCAAGTCAAATTGTAAGCCACAAAAAAAAAAAAATTGGGCTATTCTCATCTTTAATGGATTGGGTTGTACTGAATTAAAGAACTTTTGCAAAACTTTAAGTTACCTTAGAAGGGGGATAGAGAACGAGATGGAATGATACAGACATAGATTTGCAATGCCAAAAGCTTTTTCTCTAATAAAATGAAAGTATGTCAATCCCAAATAAGTGTACCATACAGAGGATGCAAAACATTTTAATGAGCAAAGTAGGTTTGACTTGGCACAATAACACCAAGCATAATAACATTTGATCAAAACAAAGCCAAACTTACTGCACGAGCAATTTGACCTATTGGTGGTAGAGTAGGCACAGTATGAAAATTTTTCCATGCTTATACTATCATTCGAAGAAAAAGGGATCAAATCGTATCTCTTAAAGAAAAGGATGGCAACTGGATCCAGGAGCAAAATTCTCTCAAGAACTTAGCTATTTCTTACTTTGAAAATATTTCTAAAGAAGATAACCAGAGGAAACCCAAGCTTATCACTAAAAGATCTTTCCCCTTTCTGTCCAACACACAACTTCTTTCCTTCAATTGAGAAGTTATTGATGATGAAATCAAAATAGCTGCATTTGACATTAGAGCTTTTAAAGTTCTCAGCCCTGATGGTCTCAACGCTAACTTTATCCATTGCTATTAAGATGACCTAAAAGAGAGCATCTTCACTTTGATTAAGAAGGCCTCAAGGATCTAAAAACAATTGCTAAGGTTAATGACATCTTTATTACTCTTATCCTTAAATTGGATCACCCTACTTGTATGAAGGATTTTTGCCCGATATCTCTATGCAATGTTAGCTACAAAATTATCACCAAGATAATTGCTAACCGTCTTAAAGAATGTATGAATCACCTAATTGGGGACAATCAATGTAGTTTCATTCAAGGGAGAAAAAGCAATGACAATATTATTATAGCTCAAAAAGTTATTCATTGCATGAGATCTAGAATTGGGAAAAGAGGATTCATGGTTCCTAAATTGGATCTTGAAAAGGCTTTTAGGATTTTATCAATGATACTCTCCACGCCATTGGAATAAATATCCATTTCAGAAAAATCATCATGACAACCATCTCATTTGCTTGCTTGAGAGTCCTTTGGAATGGCGAACCATCTCATAAGTTTAGGCACACTCATAGCATTAAACAGGGAGATCACCTCTCACCTTATCTTTTTGTTCTTTGTATTAAATGATTAAGTCACTATATTTTTAGTAATATAGATAAAAATGATTGAAAACCTATTAATCTAACTACTAATGGTCCACTTATTTTCCATTTGTTCTTTGCTGATGACTTATTACTTTTTGCATATGCATCCATTCTTCAAGCTAGAATCATACAAATTGCCTTCAAAAATTATGCAATACTTCTGGATAAAAAATTAACAATGCAAAATCTAAACTCTATTGCTCTAAAAGTATCAACATCAATAGAGCTTTACAACTCAGTAATGAATTGGGCATCCTCTTTACAGGAAATCTTGGCAAATACCTTGAGATTCCCATTCTACATGAAAGAGCTTCCAAAGTAACCTTTTCCCCTCCTCTTGATAAGACTAAGTCTCGTTATCTTTGTGGAAGAGCCGTTATCTCTCAACATTGCTGGAAAATATGTTCTTATAAAGTCTATACTTTCTTTTCTTCTTAGCTATATTATGCAAACTATGCTCCTTCCTGACAACGTCCTTTTAGAATTAGATAAAAGCTCTCAAAATTTTCTGTGAGACTCCTCTGATGGAACAAAAAACCTCACCTTATATATTGGGACAGTGTTAATAAGGATAAGAAGAATAGCGGTCTTGGTTTCAAGAAAATTGAAAGTTAAAAAATTGCTTACATTATGAAACTCTGTTGGGGTATTATTATAAAGTCTAACTATCTTTGGGTTTAGATTATTGAGAAAAAATATAAATGCAATAAACCTATCATCTCGATGATCTACAATATGAATTCATCCTCTTATACTGGGAAAAGTATCTATAAAGTTTGGGATACTTTTATATCCTAAGTTGGCTGAAAAGTTGGTAAAGGAGAGAAAATATCCTTTTGGTATGATAAATGGTCACCTTTACTTAAGCCTCTTGTTACTTATGCTTCCCCTAAAGTAAAAGCTATCTTTCATGCTAGAGTCTCTGATTTTTGCTCTATGACAAGGGCTGGAATATTGAAAAAATTAAGCATTACCTTCAACCAAATGTGATTAAATCTATTCTTATGATTCAACCTCTAAACCCTTATGGAGGAAATGATACTCTTATTTGGAAACCTTCTGATGGCAATTTCTCAATCAAATATGCTTATAAAGTTATTAAGAACTGTGAGACACAAACAACTTCTAACATTTGGTCTACTATTTGAAAATGAACTACTTATGAAAAAATCAAGTTCTTCCTCTAGAAAGCTACTTGGCATCATCTTCATACTAAATTTGTCAATTCCAGAAACGCGACTCCTACCATTAGAAAGTGTCCCTTCAGTTGCAACTCCCCTGACTCTTCCATCCACATTTTATGTGATTGTAGCAAATCAAGGAAAGTTTGGATGAAATTAGTTAAATTCTATAAATTTAACACTTTCTTTTTCTTTTCTTTGCACAATTGGATACTCTAGAATGCTAAGAATAATACTGGAGGCCAAAATACTAGAAGAACCCCTTGGAACAAACTTTTCACTCAGATATATTGGACCATTTGGAAAGATCGCTACTCTCATATATATTCTAAAGAACATATTCCTAACAAAGACATCATCTTCTTTAGCACACAAACCTTCATCAATGATCACTGTCTTTAAGCTCTACTTGGAAATGTATATTTGAACCATGACAGATCTCTTACCAAATGGATCAAACCCAAACCTGGTTGAGTTAGGTTGGATATTGATGATTCTGCTTACCCCAACGAAGCTACTACTTGTGGTGGCCTTATCTAGGATCACTAAGGCAACTGGATAAAAATTTTACTAAATACCTTGGTTATCTTTCTAGTACTACTGCTGAGCTCTTGGCCATCCTTGAAGATCTTTCTCTTTGTTGGAGATACAAATTTACCTACGTCAATGTTTACTCTGACTTTCTTGAAGCTCTATGTCTTATTCAGCATTACCACAACCTGGATCACCCTTTAAACGAAACCATAATGAAAATTAGAGAACTCGTCATGAAGGATTGGATAGTTAACTTCAACCATGTATTTAAAGATGCTAACAATATATTGACTGGCTTGCTCATCAAGCGTCAAACGAGAATAATGACATCTTGATTTTTGACAACCCTCCGCCAGAATGTTGCACTCTTATACGATTTGACTTGACCTAGTTTTGCACGGTTTTCTATAGCCTTATATTCAAAAAAAAAAGAGAAGAAGCAAAGTAGGTTTTGTCAATGTTTTTAGCCCTTGCATTTATAGTATATCACAATCCACAAGGTTGGATGCAAAACATTTTAAGAAGCCAAATTTTTTTCTTATTTCACAAACTTTTTTTTTACAATTGCTTTAGATTATCTCAAGAACTTATTGAAATCAGATTGTAAGCATTCTTTTCCTTTCCTATAAGAACATTCTTCTGGACAAAGAAAAAAAAACATTCTTCGTAGTTTCAACGAATTAAACAAAAAATCCTGCAAGTGTCTAGTGCGTGCTCTCGTGCACAAAATAATATCCATGATAATCTATTATCACACACCTTAGGATGAACACACAACAAAGACCAATCATATAAATAAACTAAAAACTAAAAGCCAGTAAATGGATGAGGGTGCGGTTAACGAAGAGCTATTTTGAATTCAACAAGCAAACAAATCGAGAGCAAGCTTAGAAGGCTTCAGGATTCAACATGCGAATCATTGGCTAACAACATGAATGGCAAAACAAACCCCAAATTGCTATAACATTCAGCGAGGATAAGAATTTACTTACTTCTCAGATTCCCAGCGTGCTCCGTCTCCTTTAATTTTTTTTTTTTCCCCCAATTTGTCTGCCTCCCTTTGGCCTTCTTCCCTCCTTTTTATAGACACAATTAGGGTTTTTTTCAGTAATGACCTCATCAAATTATAATCCCATTGTATTAAATATTTTTATGGCCCTCATTTGACTTAGCTTCCATTTTTTATTTGCTAACTTCCATTATAACAGATGACCGTAACCTGGAAGTCGCCAAAATGGAAAATTTTCCTTTTGAAATTATTATTTTTTTTATGGCCTCATTTGACTTCCATTTTTTATTTCCCAATCTACTTTATAATCGTATCATGTAAATTAATTTTGGGAAGACCATAATTGTAGAAGTCCCCGAGGTGAAAAATCTTTCTTTTTAAAATTCTTATTTATTTTTTATTTTTTATCCTAAGAACCTATAATTTTATCTATTTGAATTATTATGTTTTTTTATTCATTTTCAATATATATCTAAAAATCTGGATAAAATATGATATTCACAAAAATATTAACTTTCAAATTCTGTTCAAGTTATAGACATATGGAATGAGTGGATAACACTCATTCATGCATGCAATGAAAAATAATATATTAAGTGGAAAGTAAAACTTCCTTTTCAATCCAACAGGGCAAAGGAGATTGCGACACTACTCTCACTCCTACACAATGATATTATATTCAGATTCCTATTCTCGCTCGCCCAACAACATGCTTGCATTTACTAATCTACCCCTTCTGTCCCCGTTGGATCAACTCAGCCCATTTCTCTCTTTTTCCTATTCATTCATGTGAGTATAAACAAATTATTCAATGTTTTAATTTGGACTGTCCAAATTATTTTATTTTATTTTATATTTAATAAAATAAAAATTTTAAATTTTAATAAATCTACTTTATTATCAATCTAGACAATGTAGGTTTAATTTGAATGATAAATTTAATATTAAATATATTTATAATTTCTATAAATTGATTGTGATATTCTAGACAGTTTGGATTTAAAACTAAATTGTTTTTAAAATTTTTTTTAGTAAATAAATATTAAGAAAATAAAAATAAAGATAGTCTTCAAACTGGAGTTTTAAAAAAATTTATAATTTGAAAATTTGAAATCTAGACTATTAAAAGTACATCAAATAGTCAATTTATAAAATTATAAAGATATTTAATATTAAATTTATCATCCAAATTAAATCTGTATTGTTCAAATTAATGATATAGTTAATTTATTAAAACTTATAATTTTTATTTTATTAAATATAAAATAAAATATAAAAAATCTAGACCACTTAGATTTTTAGTCTAAACAATCCAGATTACTTATCACATGATGAGTACCAAAGATAAACTATGAAAAAAAAGAATGAGTAACACCTTGTCCTCAAGGTAAAAGGTAGGAAACTGATGTAAAATACACAATAAGCAAAAATTTAATTCAGCGATCAAACAAGACTTTTTAAGGAAATGAAAAAAAAGTATGACCCCATCAAAAACCATAGCAAGCTTTTAAGAGCACCTTAATACAGAAAACCTAATACATGTTAAATTTAATGAAATGAACAATTTCGTATTAGTCTCCTCAAAGATAGGCCATCATAAGCTAGACTACTACAAAAATAGGGGAAAGTGATTAAGTTTATAATTGAGTGTGCAAGTAAGTATTATCTATCAGTAATTGAATTATCATTTTTGCTTAGAAAAAAAAAAGAAAAAAATTTTGAGCAACCTCCTTTCTCCCCTCTTCCTCTTACTACTCTTAAAAAAAAGATGTGCTATTGCTCCTTCTTATCTTCCCGTATGGAAGGCTTGGTTCAGTAATTGAATTCTTACCTTAATGGTCAGAAAATTAAACATCCAATATTAATGACAACAAAAACACAAGAATGGCACCCTCTGATTTGCCATGCCATGCAGATTTTAAGAGACATATGAAAGTATTTAAATACAATATTAGAAAGAGATGATGTACAGAAAAGAACGACGATGATAAAAATCTTAATATTGTTCAATATGGCACAAACAATGAGTGAAGGGGATCATCCCCTTAAACTATTGAGAACTTGCTAGTGCTGAGATAAAAAATGAATTGAAATCTTAATATGATCAACTAGTAGAGTCTTTGCACCCGCACCAACTAAAAGAAAAGGGAAGGTTTGCAAGTAAGTGGATCAAAATATGTGTACTTTGACCATTTCAAGCACTAATTAGCCAAACGTTCTTATTAATGACCACAAAATTCTGCCACATTAAAATAAGAAATTGCCTGCATATAACTGAAGCAAATGCAACATTCATGCATTTTTGTTAAGACAATAGCTCAACCCAATCCTAAGTCCAAGAGACTAAAACCCAATATTAGCCCAATGTAAAAGTTGTTCTTATATTCTTTATCTGTTGTACATGTTGTCATAAAGGGCTGTAACTCCTACTATGTAAAAGAAATAACACCCTTTAGGGCTTTGTGTACCATTGTCACAATTTCCTCCTTTATATTTCTTAACTTGGTATCAGAGCTGCTCAAGCTAGCAATTGTAACATTCATGAAAATGTAACCTAAAAATTTGTTGAATAAATGAGGGTAATTAGGTAAAACTTATGTGATGTGTGGTTACAAAAAAAAATAACGAGTGATTTTAGTTTTAGGATTAAGTTTAAAGTGAAGTTGAGCCACTTGAGTATGGAAAAGTAAAAAATAAATAAGGAGAAAAGTCTCTGTGCCATATGCCACAACACGTGTGTGGTATGTTGCAATGCATGTGGCAAAATGTGAAGTGATCCTCTCTGTAACACATGTTGTGGTGCGTGATGACATGCGCCGCATCTTATGGTATAATTTCTATAGAAAAAGAGATGAGAAATTAAAACAGAAATCACAAAAGGAAGGAGAGAGAGAGAGAGAACACAAGAGAGACATGAAGGGAACAAGGAGCTTTGCTAGGTTGTTTTTGGAAGAAATTTGGAGCATTTTGGAGCTATTAATCACTAAAGGTAAGTTTCAAAGTCCTTCTTCTCTATCTCTCATTTACTTTTAGAAGTTTTGGGAGTTTGGGATTGTGATGAAGTTTCAGTCCATATATATTATGGGTCTGAACCTATTAACTCAAATGGAATTAATGAAAGTTATTTTGCGTATTTAAATTTAGAAATTGTGTGTTTAGATGGAAGCCATTAATGCCCGAAAATGAGTGTTAAATCCCAAATTATGAAGATTATTGTGCTATTAATGATAATATGAAAGTTTAATGAAGCTATTAAGAACTAAATTAATATATCCAATAGATAAGCCTAAATGTGATAAATAAGAGTATTGGGTATTTTAGAAATGGAAAATGAGAGTTGAAAATATGTTTTTGATAATGTCAATTGAGTTTGGACTTAATTAATTACAGATTAATCATCTGAGCACTATATTTGGCTTGAAAAGCAAGCTTGGAAGCAAGTTGTTAGGGGGTAAACCTTTGACCTCTTAAGATTTGAGCTAATTAGGAAAACCTTATTTTCGATAGTTATTTATTAATTCAATTTTTGTGTAAAAATGGTTTATTGAGTGTATGATTGAGTTTTGTAAATGTAAAAGCATGCTATAAAATATATATTAGAATATTAATCTTCATCTCACATAAAAGTGGATTGAATGAGAAGTGGAATGTCCATATTGATATTATTAGAACAGCACTCTAGCAACACTATGATAATCAAAATTAATTGAATTTTATATAAGATTATCACAAAACAAAGGTTCAAAAAATAGTTTAAATATTAAGTCTCTGAGACAACCTTTTTGAAAGAATGTTTGAGTTTAAATTATGATTTAAAACAAGTTAAATGAGATAGCGAAAATAAAATCAATTGTTACATTTAAATACAATAAATGGATATTATGAAAATTTTTGTGAACGTAAAGAATTTGGTTTATTAAAGTTTGTGTATAGAATAAAAAGATCTTTCGAGTTATTATGTAGAATATAATATAATATAATAATTATATTTTATATAATAATGTAAGATCCAAAATGATCCGTACATGCAGATAATATGGTCCAATGAATCCATTAAGTGGGTTCATGGCTTTAGTTTCGTTGCCATTACTTCCAACCGCAAACCAAAAAAACATATCACTAGTTTAGAACCCAAAAGGTATCATTTTTTATATGTCTAAAATTTAGACTTAAATTAATTAATGTTGTTGATTAAAAAAGGACTTAAATTGATAATTATAATTTGCCTCAAATAAATTTATGTTTTATATTTACACTAATATTGAGGTGAAGTCAAATTGCGAGAAAGGGAGGTTCAAATTCCAAAAGCTGCATGGTAAAAAAAGAAAAACGGAGAACGATAGTTAAATATAAAAAAAAAAAAATCAATTACAATTAAGTCTCCAATAAATTTAAATTTCAAATGTAAGTAATTAGAATTTTTATCTATAATCGTTTAAACCAATATGTATAATTTTTTTAATAAATTTTATTGAAAACTTAACCGGATTATTTCTATTTTAAAATTTTACTATCATTTTTTTTAAAAGAAAAAAGCCACTTGTCTAACGGTACGGGCCCATCATGCCACTGAATTCATGGATGTTAATGGGAACTTAACATTAGGGAGCACAAGCCAATCTTTTTTACTAAGTTAAAGAAAATATTGTACGCTAATGAGTTGGGGTTTAATAGGAGGAGTTAATCTTTCATAATATGATAGATTAAGGTTTAAATTTTGTATAAGAGAAGTATTATTAATCATACTTTGAATAAGATTTTTTAAAAAAATTAGGATACTAAAACATTTCAGCTAAATAATTGAAGGGTTAAAAATATCTTCTAATTTTAAATAATTTCAACAAATAGATAGTACATTTACCAAGAGTTATAGTTATATTCAAATTCATCTCCATACATGCACAGGGAACATTGTATAAAATGTATGAAATTTGAGTAAAACTATTCATGAATGCATAATTAATCAATGGAGATCATTTTCAGAGTTATTGACTTATCAAATTATTAATTACATTTATAATTTAGATTGCATTAAGGCATATTTGGTCTTCAATGTGTAACTAGGCAAAATAGAATATAATATACATAAATAAATATAAATATATATATACGCAAAAAAATTTGGTCTTAATATATATGTATATATAAACAATACAAAATATTGAAGAAAAAAATTTAAATTCAAAAGAAAACGTATTTTCTTTATAAAAATACAAAAAAAAATATAAATTTAGATATCTACACCTTACTCAAGTTTTATTATAGGTTCTTGCATTTTATTTCAATATTCTATATTCTTATACTTTTGTTTTTTGATGCTTTAGATCCTTTCATGATCGGTTTGTAGGGATATAAAATATTAAAAAATAAAAATATAAAAGTTTAAAATACTGAAATAAAGTGTAAAAATCTATAATAAAAATGGGTCAAAGTAAATAGATCTAAGTGATGTATTTTTAAAATATAAAAGAAAAATGACACAAAAAGTAATTTGCACACGTGATGAGAAAAGCGAGGAGGGGACCATTTTTATCTCCATCGTCCATTGGCAGGTGAATGGGATTGGTGCTACGTCGCTCCAGACATCCCAAGTTTTTCGTCCAATCGCGTCCTTGTTATTGCTCATTTTCAAAAGCACAAAAAAAAAAAAGCAAAATTTTATTTATAACTTAATTAAAAACATTTTGATGCAATCAAATAATTTACAGTGGCCATATTGTCATAAGTTATTATAAGCAACATTATTATTATTATTATTACATATTAATTAATAAATTCTATATACATTTACATGGAATTCACGGTGAAAATAATTTTATCTAAGTTTCATAAAATATATCAATATTAATTTGGGAGTTTGAATTCCCACCCTTCATGATAATTTAGTTGAGGTATGTTTATCCATTACTTTTTGGAAGATAATTTTTGTTATTGACAAAGATATATTCCTTTTGTTGGCACAAAAAAAATTCCGAGCCAAAATTGTTCAAATCATCTTGAAAACATTATTTGTGAGAATCAAACTTAGAAACTGCTTATTTTTAAAGATTAAGTATTTTTTTTACCAACTAAAGATTAAGTCTTCGTATTTAACATTCAAGCTGCAAAAATTTTCAAGTGTTTCAATTATTTATCAATCAAGATCTTTAGGAATACATGTTTTTTAAATTTAGTCCTTATGAATAACTTCCCAATTATTTCCATATATATATATATATATACATATATATAATTAATTAAGATATTTACATAATTATTTACTATTGATCTAGTTTTCAAATTTTTTAGAGAGACATCTCCACGCAACCTATCATAATTAAGATGTTCATAATTCTTTTGATTGTGCATAAGAATTAACTTATTAAAAACAATCTTATTCAAGCTAAGATGATGCACTAAATGTAAATTAGTGAGAATTTGAATTTTATTTCATCACAATTAAATCCAACTTCAAATTTTATTTATAACTTTAATCAATTGATTAATTTTCTTCAGTGTCTTTTTGACCACATTTGGAGGGTGACTTAGGCCCATTTGATTTTCTTTTATTTCACATTCAAAAAGTAAAATTTTATTTTTAAAAAGTTAAAAATTATTTGGATAAAATATTTTGCAAGAAAGCACTCCTAAAAATACATTTAAACAGTAATTGAAAGTGAATTTTTAAAACATAACTATTTAAAACTTTTAAAAAGTGAATTTAAAAAGTAGGATATTATTTAACCATACTACCCCAAGTTTAATCTCTTATTCTTTTATTTAAAAAATAGTAAATCATTAAAAATATAATTATTATTTTAATAATAATAATTAGGTATCAATTTGTTTAGCATTATAAATTGAATAATTAATCATGTTAATTTTTAGCATTAATGTATAATAAAAATTATAAATTTTGATCACATTTTCCAAAATTATAAATTTAAAAAATACAAATAATTAGAGATCAAATTTTTAGCATTATAGATCAAAATTTATGTTATTTAAAATATTTATGACATTTTTTAAAATATTTCAAATATATTGCATTTGTATAATAAAAAATTATAAATCATTATAAATTAATATCTTTTTTAATAATTATACATTTAAAAGCGCATTTCATTATAACAAATCAAACAAATTTTAATGTATCAACTAACTTTTGAAAAAATGTATCTAAACATAAATTTTATTACAATAATTGACTTTTATTAAACTGATTTTTATTAAATGAACTTTTACTAAATAAATTTTTATTAAATTAAAAATTAAATGCACACTTAACTTTTCAAAATTTCATATTCTTTGTAACATTGTTTTTATTTTTTGTTTGCCAACCTGAAAAAAAAAGAAAAATAACATAAAAATTCTTTAAAATATACAAATGAGAGTCATATCCTGTAAAATATGATATTTCTTTTTAAGTTTTGTAGAACTTTTCTAACGTCAAAGATCTCAAGAGATTTAAGAAAAATTATTATATTTTACAAAGTTTTATTTTTTATATTAAAAAATATAAAATATTTTTTGAAGAATTAGATATTAAAAAATATAAATATTTTTAGTCTTTTAAAATATAATCATTATCTTTTTTTTAAATACTTCTATTGATAAATGACTTTATATTTATTATAGGGTGTTTAATAGAGATAACTATAAAAAGATAAATCAGTTTAAAAATAAGTAATTACTTTATTAAAGATAATATTTAATTAAAAATATTTTATATTTTTAAACAGTAGAGTATTATAATTTAATTTTTTAAAAAAAATTTATTATTATTATTATTTTTTTTACCAGAAGTGAGGAAATTTTTAATGTGAAACTTCACTCCAAAAAAGAGGTGCGTCTTGTAGCCTTTTTTTCGTGAAATCGACGCTGGAGATTTGACTCTTTTTGTCTAGAGATGACTCGATTGATTCATTTTAGTTAAAGATTTCCTTCACAAACAAGTCTGCAATGTCACTCATCAAGATGACAGGGCATTTATTGTTAAGACGAAAAAAAAAAAAAAATCAAAGGCCATGAAGATGATGAACGGACATCAGAGGTTCTCAGAGATTTTCTCTTTAGAATGGGAATTGAATTGGGTTATCAGTTATCACCCAATTGTTTTAGAGATAGAGAGAGAGAGAGAGAGATGGTCATGTGCTCTCCCTTCCTTTCGCTTTCTGGTTTCTATCCAAATGGCGGATACTTCAAGGCTTAATTTAACCCATTCATCTTCCTTCTGGTATTTTTTCACTACCCACGAGCCACCTTCCCTTTTATTCTATTTGGGTCTCTTCGGTTTCTGGTTCTGTTTCTATTTCCCCTCCAAATAATTTCATTGTCTCTATCTCTGCTTCGTCACCCTTTTCTTTCTCTTTTTATTTTTTTTTCTTTCTAAATTTAGAGAGTTATAAGAATGGCTGTGGCTATGGCTGCTTCGAGTCTTGGGCTTTCCTTCACTACCAAGACTAATTTCAGAGCTCTGGATAAACCCACTTGCATTGCTCCTGTCTTCAAGGCTTCTTCTGGGTTTGGTGTTGCTAAACCATTCCTCATTTTCCACAAAGGAAGGTAATATATCTTGGCGATTTTGTTCATTAGTCTCTGTTCTTCATATATATCATAAGAATTCTTGCTTTGTTGATGATTACGTTTGTTGTTGTCATATTTCGCCTTATAATTTACATAATCAGGTTAGTATTCCCTAGAATTTTGGATTGAAAAATGAATTAATGGAACTTCTAGCACTGTTCTTTGATTACCCTTCTTGAAAATGCTAATTCTTGCAACTAATTTGTTATTCTGATACAGCTCTGATGCTGTTAATTTATTTCCCAGTATTCAGTATTACTCTTGGAGGAATTTCTGCGTGAACTAATTTGAGCCAGTTGGTGATATGATTATTACAGAAAACGTTGAGATTTGTTTTTATTGAAGATAACCGTACAGAAGGGAAGGGAAGGTTTAATATAGGCATTACCCTGATTTAAATCTGAATCAAACAGTTCCTTCTTCATTTTCATCACTCCAAGCATGCCCCTTGATAATATCTTTGGTTATGTTTATACCCTTGTGCTTTTTTGAAAGACGCAATATGAGCTAAGACTTTGCCAAAATGATGTGTCCTTTCTCTTTGTTGTAATATTATTGTATGTACCATTTTGTCAGATTGTCATCTTCAGGAACCACAATTATCCCTCAAGCAGCACCTGTTGCTAATGTAGAGGTATTTAGCAAAATGATCCTAAAATATTGCCTAGTTGTTGCATATGAGATGTACATTGTCTATTCTTCGTCCTTTTCTCATGCTTTTTTTTTTAATATATTTAGATCAATAAAACATTTATTTTCAATTTGTGGTATGGTGGACAGGATGGAAATCAAGCAGAGACTGATACCGTTCCAACTCCTGTAGTTATAATTGACCAAGACTCTGATCCTGACGCAACTGTGGTGGAAATAACATTTGGTGATCGCCTTGGCGCTCTTCTTGACACAGTAAGCCATCCTCTGAGAATAGTTTGTTGCTCTAGTTTGCTTTTTTTTATTTCCCTTCATAGTATTTCTTATATGTCAGCACTTTCAAATTTTCTAGTCATTTTTATTTATGCACCAATCTGTCATTGATGAAATCAACTATTTCTACATGGGTTCCAGATGAATGCATTGAAAAACTTAGGGCTCAATGTTGTTAAGGCAAATGTCTATTTGGATGACTCCGGAAAGCACAACAAGTTTTCCATCACAAAAGCGTATGTGTTACATGTGTGTTGCTATGTATATATGTATCCATCATATCTCTTCACTATCGTATGATTACCCATGTATGTCAAATTGTTAAGAATAGTAGTTATGTTATTTTACCAATGGGACTAATTTCTTCTAAAGCTTGGCTGAGTTTACTCCTCTATCATGGATTATGTACAGGGACACTAGCAAGGAGATAGTCAGAGATAATGTGGCCAATAGAAGTGGGAAAAGGAAATGGATGGCCAATGATGAATCTTAATTACCAATTGATGATCTTTAGATATCGTAAATTGCAAAATTAAGACAATAGGCTCTATTCTTTTAGCACAAGTCCGTAGAGAGGTTTCTAAGTTGAACATCTTCTTGGGCTCGGGGTGTCTGATTACAAGTTAATGCTAAAATATTGGAAGTTTATGTAGCACAATGAACAAAAACTTGTTTTCTTCAAATTCCACAAGTGACAATTATTTGATGGACCATAGTTTTATCTAGTTGGTCTAGTAATTTATTGGATATGCTGGTGGAGCTTTGTTTGCAGTGATACTGGTAGGAAAGTGGAAGATCCAGAGATGTTAGAAGCGATTCGTTTGACAATTTTAAATAATATGATTCAGTATCATCCAGTATGTGCTTCTCAACTGGCCTCCCTTTCTTTTCTATCTTAGCACATCCTTCCACTTATAGCCACTAGCCAGTTACTACTTCTGATTATAGTTTCATGTTCCGATTTGGTTATCCAGGAGTCGAGTGCCCAGTTGGCTTTGGGAGCAGCTTTTGGACTTGTTCCACCTAAAGGGCAGGTAATGAATGTCTATATGTTGAAACTATAAACTCTTAGCTGGCATATATGAATTTGGCATCATCCATGTGGGGTTTGTGAATTTCTATCGAGGTAGGAGTTACAGTGGCTAGAGTTAATAAAATTGTTTTTGTACGAGGGAGGGAATATGCGTAGTGGGGAAGATGAGAATGAATGTCAAATGGGTTGTTAGCTGATTTAGAAACCATGTTATGCGGAGAGTAGGGATGTGAAAGAGAACGAGAAGAGAGTGGCATGGAACAGAATGATTACTCCTGTTTCTTTATTTTCTTGTCTTGTGAATGAAAATCCATTCCATCCTACTATGTTCTTGACTTACTTGTGTTGTTCTACATGGAACTTTTAGTAAATAAACGAAGTTATGTTAGAAAAATAGAAAGTATTCATTCCAGCTTGTTTGTACATCACTTTTTATTATCTTTGAAAGAGAGAGTGATAATTTCAGTCTCATGTGACCTGTTCCTTGTTTGGTTGGAATATAATGTCTCAGGTTGATGTGGACATAGCAACCCACATAACCATCTCCAATGATGGCCCAGATCGAAGGTACATGAAAGCTATCCTGATCCCAACAGAAAATTGTTTAACTGAAATTCACTATATCTTGAGTCCTGGCCTCATAGAAAAAAGTTCTCAATTCCATGATTGATGTTACTATGGTACTTGTTTTTCCCTTTTCAGTTTGCTTTATGTGGAGACTGCGGATCGACCTGGATTACTTGTGGATCTTGTCAGGATTATTACTGACATTAACATCTCTGTTGAATCTGGAGAATTTGACACTGAGGTGAATTTACCTCAGCAAAATGTGCATATCTATATCCTCTTTCTCTGAGTTTATCAAAATCTCCATAATCTCTGTTGTTGAACGTAGGGGCTCTTGGCTAAGGCAAAGTTTCATGTTAGCTACAATGGCAGCGCACTCATCAAGCCTCTCCAGCTAGTAAGTCAATACAATTCCATCGTCGTTAAAGTTTCTTTCTTTTTTCTTGTTTTCTTTTTCCTAGTTAACTGATGGAAAAATCAGAATTACTTGATTGACATATTGATTTGAGATACTGTCTGGTGAAGTTTGTGTTGCTTTGTCTCTACCATTGCCATGTTTTGCAGGTTCTTGTAAACAGCTTGAGATATTTCTTGAGAAGGCCCATAACTGAGGAATCCAGTTTTTGAGTGGGGGGTCTCTTGCAATGCAATGGATGTAGTATATTGATTCCCTCATTTTGGAGAATAAATATAGAATACAGTCAAACAAATTGCTTTATAATACATGAAATCTATAAATCTAGTCAAGCATCTACATTTGGTTCTCATTTCAATTTCATATGTGACGCAGGAATATTTTTTTGTCCCCTTAAAATTTAATCTCTGTCAATGATGTTAAAAGATTTTTCTTTCTGATAGGTAAAGGCACGCATGGTTTTAGCTTGAGAAGAAATATTATTGAGATGAAAGTTAGATCAATATACCAAAAAAAAAAAAGGAAATAAAAATTAATGTATTTTTTCAAATGAAGAGCATAGAAAATTGTTAAGCTCAAATTTAAAATAGATTTTAATAGAGAATTACATTTAGGTCTCTCATAATACAATTAAATACTACAATTTTGTATTAATAATTGAGTATATATTATAATATTTAATTATATTGTGGGGATTTAAACGTAATCCTCTCCATATCATTCAATCGCACACTAAAAAATTAGATTAGGTTTCAGAGATAATATAGGCCTAAGAAGCAAGCCGTGTTATTTTATATTTATTCAGTGTATTTTATAAAAAGTTTTATAGATATAAAGTTTGTTTTAAAAAAACCTTAATAAATCATAAAAATATTAACGTGTGTTAGTTGGAGGAAATACTGAAAGTAAAAACAGTGAGTAAAATTAAAAAATTGTATTTTAAAACCCAAGTTGATGAATGTTGTACGAGAAAGAGATGTGAGTAGTATCATTATCCATGCTGCAAAAGCACTGGAAGGAAATTGGCCTCGTGTCACTTGGCAACTTGTGATTGATTAACTATTATTATTATCATGTTGTCGTCGTCGTCGTCGTTATAGATTTGATTTAATTATGTGCGTGTTTGTTAATCATAATTACAAACATGATTTCAAACATGTAGTAACCAACTCGTTGTTGCCCTGCAAATCTTCGTGTATTCAAAGGGGTAATGTAACATGCATGGAGAATATCAACTAGGCCCCCAGGACTCTAAAATAGCATGCAAGGCCCTGTAGACTCTAAAATACTTCTATAGTTCAAGGGCCTCAACCCTCAAATGCACTTAAATTTTTTGGTTTAATTACTAAAACACCCTTAATTTTTATTAAAAAGAAGCTCCCCACTATCGTCGGTGCTACTATCTGGTACAGATTGTTGTCAGAATTCCTTTGCCAAGGGGTGGTCAACTCTAAGAAGAGACCAGGCTAAGAGGGATTTAAACCCATGACATTTTAATTCTCCAAAATATAAGAGATCATTGAACCAATAAGTCCTTTAATTTATAAGTGCAAAATGCACATGCAAACTATAACTTTCATTTCCAAGCATTTTCATCACACCCCAACTACAACTTTCATTTTTAAGCATTTTTACCAGTTATTGTAAATTTTGGATGAATTGTTATTAATATCCAAACAATTACTTGTCAATATTGATATATGACTTGTTAATATTTTAAAAAAAATTAATTTTCAATGACAATTTGTTCAATTTTTTAGAACTTGTTACTCCAATATTAACAAGTTATCAATATTATGTTAAATAACGTGTGTGTGTTATAAATTTATTTTCCAAGCATTTTCATAAACTTTTATTAATTATGGACAAATTGTTGTTAATATCCAAATAATCATTTGTCAATGTTCAAATGTGACTTTGTTAATATTTTGAAAAAAAAAATTGTTAATTTTCAGAGACTAACTTGTCCAGCCTTTTTATAACTTATTCCTTTTTTGGTCGAAGACAACTTATTTGGTTTGAAGACAATGGTCAAGTGGTCAAAGACAATTTATTCCTTTAATATTAATAAGTTATTAATATTGTGCTAAATAAAAACGTATATATGATATAAAGTTATTTTGCAAGCATTTTCATGGGGTTTTGTTAATCATGACAAGTTGTTTTGATATCCAAATACAAGTAATAATGATCCACCTTTTTTTTTTTAAGTGAAAGTTTAGGTAAATTGGATTCTGAAACTTCACCAAAACTAAGGCATGTCTCTAGACACAAGACGCTCATAGATGCATATATAAATCACCTATAATAAGGTCTTTATATTGATAATGTGATTTAATCTCATGATCTTTTATGTTATAAGTCAAATCCTTAATCATTAGACCAACCTTTATTGGCATGATCCACCTTTTTTATGTTAAGTAACTTCTAAAAATGACCATAAATTTCTTCTAGAATGTAACATGGATATAAGATTGGAAGAAGTATGTTACAAGCAAGTTGTGAATCTTGAAAAAGAACTTGTTAATACATTTCTTTTGTTTGCAAAGAGTGATGTTGAAATTACTTAAACCACTGATCCATTAATGAATTTATTCAGTTTGCCAAAAGCAAAAATGAACATGAAGTTGTTCGAATGGCCCAATGGTCCAAAAAACAACACTTGTCTTTTTGTCAACAACAACAATAATTTGAAACTTGAAAACTAAAAAAATCCATTAACGATTTCTATTTTAAGATTCACAATTTTCTTATATATATATATATATAGTTATATTTGACAAATATAACTTGTTAATATTTACAACTACCTTATTTCTTTAATAGTTGTGGTGTCTAAATTATGAATTACATACATACACATAAATGTGCATTATAATGACAAAAGGTTTTGAATATATGGCCAATGATTTAAGTAATTTGAACATTAATTTTTAGAAAAAGAAAACCATTAACAAGTTGTGTTTTGACATTAGACCTTTTTTTTTAAATAAAATGTTGATATTGATAACTTGTTTATAGTATAATGACATAATTACACTGTAAATTTTATAGCGATCTTGTTTCTTGAATGGTTTAATTTGAGATCTTGCGCGTGTAAAATGTGCCTCTTTTTTTTTTTCTTGGCCTGATAAATGTGCCTAGTGGTGCGAATATTGAAAATTATTTTTTATACACATATATATGTAATTTTATATGCATGTATGGCATGCCTCATGTTAATTAGAAGTAGGAATGGTCTAAGTATTTTGAAAGAATAATCCATGATCTTGGGTTTAAATTCAAGCCTTAATATCTTTGTTATCCGGTTATTTATCATTCAAAAAAAATTGATAGCTGCCAATAGCATTTGTGGTTTAGAGGTGTAAAAGCTTTCTTACAAATAAGAAATAGCGAGTTTGATCACACTTATATTTCAAACCATTAGTGTCTGCTCTTTTAAATCAAAAATTGAAAAAAAAAATTGATATGTAAGTTTAAAACTTAGAACTACACAAATAAAAATATATTAAAATATTATAGAATTCAAAAATAAAAAAGATAAATTTTAAAAAAGGAAAACACAATCATTGATTCCTATAATTTTATTGAGTTTTGCTTTTAATTCTTAAAATTTTTTACTGTATTTTGTCCCTATAGTTTTAGCAAGTTTGGGTAACACTTGTTATCCAAGTACCTATAGTTTTAGTATTTTTAATTCCTATAAAAATTAAAAACACTGAAAAACTATAAGGATTAAAAACAAAATATGATAAAATTATAGAAATCAACGATTGTGTTCTCCCTTTTAAAAACATAATTTAAAATAAGAAATTGTATTATAGAAATATAATTCAAATTTTTTTATAATTTAAGTTGTCAGCCATGAGAGACAACTTTAATTTAAAATCAGAAAATAAAATTTTTAGTCCTTTAAATTTATCCTAATTATCAATTTGATCTTTTAAGTTTAATTTTAATTGAGAAAAGTTTAATTTTTTTATTTGATCCTTTATGTTTTCTTAAATTATCATGTTAGTTTTTTAACTTTTAAAACACAAATTAATTCTCACATTAATTCAATGTGTAAAGTAGGTTTGTAACATCTTGATTTTTTAACTTAAAAATTAATTGAAAAAATAAGAGTATTTAAATATTTAATTGAGTTTGAAGACTTAATTAGGGAAATATTTGTATGGTGGATTTAAGTTAGAATTTTTGTTAATTTGAGGTTTTAATTTAGGATGAAGTTTATTGGGTTAATTAATTGTTTAAGCACTTAATTATCTAAAATTGGGCTATGATCATTTACAAGGGTTATTTAGAGTCCAAAATAGATTTTGGGTCAAATTTGGGCCTAAAGTATTGGGCTAAAGTGAGAATTTGTAGGCTATATTATTTGCTACGACGAAAGGCATTGTTTTCTACACTTTTATTTTTGTTTGAAAAATACGAGGATTTTGATACAATTTTTTAGTGCTCTGTTAGGATTTCATGGTGCTCATCATTTAGGCTTGATTTAGGGGCTCTAAAGGCTTAAGATAACATTTCTAACCTTCCTCCTATCCTCTAATCTCCTCATTTAGCAAGTTTAAGTAGTGAATAAGGTTAGGTTTGAATTTTAAGCAACTATAGTCATGGGGATAAAATTTTATGGGTTGTTTAAGGTTTAATAAGTGCTATTTAAGATGTTTTAATGGTGTTTAACTTAATAGAGTGCTTATATCCTAAAACCCTAGCTTAGTTGAATGATGATTAATGATGATTAGGGTGATTATGATTTAAATTTATGATTAAGAAGTGTAATAAGGATGACTATAACCAAATTTAATGATTAATGTGTATAGAAGTGTATTAGGATTATGAGATTAATTAACCTAACCCTAGGATTAGGGTGTAATTAATGTTTAAAAACTTGTATTGATTATAATTAGCATTATATTGTATGTAGATTGTGGTGTTAACACCGTTGGAGGTGATAGATGTAATATTCTAAATTTTAAACTTTGAAATTTTAAGTGTTTGAGGGGGTAAAAGTGTCAAAATAAGAGATTTATGAATTAATGATGCTTTTGGATGACTAATATAGTTTTTGGATAGTTGGACAGCCTTAAAATAGGGTTAAGTCAGAGTTTAAGCTGATCGTGGCATAAAGAGAAACCCAAATATATGAGTCTCTCTGTGCCATGGGTCGCAGCAACGCACCATGCACCATGGCAGATAGACTCAAATTTTGTTAAATCAAGCTCATGATGACAGAACAAAAGAAGAAGGAAAAAGAGAGATCGATGGAAGCTCGACTTGGCTCTATTAAGGCTTCATCTTGAGAGCATTTTAAGCAAGAATCACTAATGGATAAGCTTCTTATACCTTTCCCTC